AAGAACGAGTCTGTGAAGCTTGGCAGCAGGCAGGTGTGGCAGTACCAGTCCTCGTTCTCGTTTGTTGCCAAGTGATCATATTCTGTTGTCGTGACACGTGAACCTAGCTTGCAGGGAACACCGGACATTGTGTTTCTGACAGAATTCTCTCAGATACATGTACGTGTATATATTCGCCGCAAAACTCGTCATTTTAACAGATACTGGTCATATATGCAACCCAGGATATGGCCGCCTGACACATTAGCAAATATTCTAGAATTTTATATTTGTTCCTCAGGCTAAAATGCGGGTTCGCGCATGTGCAGTAATTCACTGAATAACTGATATTTTGATTCAAAAACGAATTTAAACTGGAGCGGGGGTACCCGTGTGTAGATTTATGGAATAAAACTCTATTGCTATGGCGCTTGTAAAAGACGGTACGACGCCCTAGCTTGCAGGGTACACCGGACATTGTGTTTCTGGCAGAATTCTCTCAGATACATGTACGTGTATATATTCGCCGCAAAACTCGTCATTTTAACAGATATGGGCACATGCAACCCAGGATATAGCCGTCTGCCACTTTAGTAAATATTATAGTGTAGCAGGTTTATAATTTGTATGTTATTAGATTAAGCAGTTATTCAATGTGAATAGATCATGATTGAATGTACTCGTGCATATGACGTGTAGCGGAAATAACCACTAGGATACGGGGGTCATGAATATGTATTAGATGTAAGTTGCATAATTCTTGTTATTCCACCATAGCAAATCAGAATCGTTTTACGTAATCACACTAGCTAATCACGGTAGCGATTGTCACGATCACGAGGGCTAGGCACACCATTTCTGTTTTGGCAGCATTCCGCTTTCTATTTGCGTTGAGTCGAGAGCTAATGTCAGTCTCGGAGCTTTAATGAGAGAAAAATGTCAAACATCAGTGTATCACAGGCACTTGGAACGTCTCAATAACAAAGATTAATGGTAGATAAACACGAAATGTACCAAAGTCTTAATGTTTCTCTACTCTATTTTGCCGATAATCACCTGTAAATGCCGGTCAAATGCTCATCTGCAACACACAATTAAGTACAACGCACGCCCGCCCTGTGCTGCGTGCACAAACAACATGAATAAGAGAGTTATGTTATTCATGTTGTTTATGCTCTTTTATGCTCTTTTATTGTTATGCTCTCTTATTTATGTTGTTTGTGCACGCAGCACAGGGCGGGCGTGCGGTGCACTTGTGTGTTGCTGATGAGCATTTGACCGGCATTTACAGGTGATTATAGGCGAAATAGAGTAGAGAAACATTAGGACTTTGGTACATTTCGTGTTTATTTACCATTAATTTTTGTAATTGAGACGTTCCAAGTGCCTGTGAGTGTTATTATGTGATGTTGTTTCCGTGTTATCTCCCGCTTTCAAAGAGTGACTGTATAGCCCTGTTCTTTCTCGGGTTGTCACACCGTACGACTTTTGGGTGAGCAAGATCGTTAGCTTTGATCGCATCACCACTGTTGCTGTGAACATTGAATAATTATGCGAACCGTATCAGTTTTCGTACGGCACAGTCACTGTGTGAGACGGAACGGTTAAGTCACAGGCACTTGGAACGTCTCAATAACAAAAATTAATGGTAAATAAACGCGAAATGTAAGTCTTAATGTTTCTCTACTCTATTTCGCCTATAATCACCTGTAAATGCCGGTTAAATAAGAACAGAGTTCTATTTGTTTGATCACTTTATTAGAGAGAATCAGCGTGAAATGACAATAACTAAACAAGTATTGCACAGATTGAAACGCGGGCGGGCTTACAATCCTCTCTGGTTCCGGTTCGGATCGCGCATGCGCGCTGGTACAAGGGACCATCTATTATGCGGGAGCGCCGTATAGTACGATGTTCTCTATCTCCCTCCGAGTCTTTATTAAGCTAATGGATAAAGGCTGAGAAAATTTGAAGTTTAATAGATGAACGAATGTCTAAATAACCCATCGTGACTATCCCATGGAGTAGTCCTTGTGCCAGGTAGGCACGCTGGTCGCTCTGGCGGATCGGCGCTGACCCGTTGCTGGTGCTGGTGGTGTCACGTCGGGCTCCGGTGGGGGTGGGGCACTCGGGGTCTCAGGGGCCGGTGGTGGCGTCTGAAAGACCACGCGCCTCTGTGTGCCTCGTCCTGGTGCTGCTGGCGTGACTGAAGCGGGCGATGTCCTGCGCCGGGGTGTGTTTACTGACGTCAGCACAGGCGGCAGTGGGGGCCCCGTCTGCGTCGCGGGTGTTGCGGAGTCGCTGTCGAGGTCGCGTAGCGGCGGTGTCACGACTGGTGCTGGTACGGTGACGCGGGTTGCTAGGTCATCATAGATCGATCGGGGTGGCAGCTGGTCGTTGTGAACTGGGCAGAACTTGCGCAGGAATTTCCTGTTCCGAAGCGTGACTCTGCCCGAGCCGTCAATCTTGATCGCGTATTGGTCGTGTTGGCGCACCTCCACGATACTGCCCGTCTTGTCCCATTTGTTGGGGTGGGGCCCTGTCTGGTTCTGTATGCGGACTGAGTCCCCTACCGCAAGCGGCGGAAGGCGTTTAGTGTGCTCCGCCCAGGTGTAAGCTGTGCGTATGTGGCGTTTGTGGAGGGCCTCCTCCTTCGCTTTCAGGGTCTCGTGCCAAGTCTCATGCGGTCTGTACTTCCCGGGGATAATCGGGATGAAATCGCGTATCGGGCGGCCGACGACACACATTGCTGGGAGATCTTCGTGTCAGGGTCAGGTGTGTTACGATATTGCAGTATCGCTCTCTGCACAGCGTCGGTGTCAAGTTCTCCCTTCGGGCCAGTGTTGTCAGTGATAAGTCGTTTCATCGTCTTCACTCCAATCTCTGCGCGACAGTTGCTGTGGGGGAAGGCCACCGATGACAGGCGGTGGTGTACGCCCCATCTGTGCAGGAACGACCTGGTCTCGGTGGAGGTGAACTCTGGTCCCCCATCCGATGCGAGCTCTTCTGGCGTCCCATACGTCACGAAGGCGCGACGTAAGTGGTTTATGAGGCCAGTGGCACCACCCGTTGACTTCGAGATGATCGGCCAGTTCGAGTATCGGTCCACCGTCACGAGGTAGTGTACGCCCCTGTGTACGAAGAAGTCCGAGCACACTGCCTGAAAGGGGTAAACGACCGGGACAGGTGGGGTTGGCGGCGCTCCCGGCTGTGAGGGTGCCATCCGGTGGCAGTGTTCACAGTTTTTCCGAGTGGCGCTGATGTCGGCCGACATGCCTGGCCAGAACACAGAGGATTCTGCGCGGGCGGTCATCATCGATATGCCCTGGTGGGCAGCGTGTAGGGCGCTCAGCACCTCGCCGCGGAGTAAGGGTGGTATGACTACACGGTCCTTGTATAGGATCACTCCGTCTGTCGATGTAATGTTCTCGCGGAACTGGTGAAAGTCGCGAATCATCTCCGGCATCTCGAACTTCGAGTCGGGGATGCCGTCCACTGCCATTTCCTCCAACATGTGCATATCGCCGTCGCTGCTGGTGGCCTCCCTGACGCGGTCCCATGTCACTGATCGCAAAGCTTCGAGGCCCGCGGCGCACCATGCCAGGTTGTCCTCCTCGACGTCATCGTCGTCCTCCGGCTCAGCTTGGCGTAGGAGAGATAGGACATCGGTGTGCGTGCTGGGTGAGAGGTGGGTCCCTATGGCGGCATTGTCGTCCGGAAGGTTCATGAATGATGGTCACGTGGTGCCGACCGGCCGACGTGACATGGCATCCGCCGCCTTGTTCTTCAACCCTGGGATATGTATGATGCGGAAGCGATAACGCAGGGTCTTCTCCTTGAGGTTCCTGAGGCGGGGTTGGGTATGTCGTCAAGTGCTCTGTCCGCAAAGAGTTTCAGGAGCGGCTTGTGGTCTACCGCTATGATCAAGTTCTCGCAGCCCAGCACGAAGCAGCGCACCTTGTCCAAGGCGTTCGCAACAGCGAGAGCCTCACCTTCTATGGGAGCGTATCTGGATTCCGCCGCGTGTGTGAATCTGCTGCCGACCAGGGTTATCTTCCATCCATCGGTGCAGCAGAACGGTCTGACTGGCGTGCATCGGCAGTACTTTTGAAACAACCAGAACCCAATGCCCTCCTTCGACCAGTCCGTGGCGATGCATGTTGGCTTGGTCTTCGGACACCACGCTCGATTTCTTGAAACGATCACGTCCTTCGGCTCGCGGAATATGTCCTCTAACTCCGGGGACCACTCGAAGCGTTCTCCACTTTTCAGGAGCTTCCGGAATGGCTGCATTCGTTCGGCCATACTAAAGGCGTAGGCCACTTGGATAACCAGCCCGAACCACGATCTGACGTCAGTGACGTTACGCGGTTGGGGGAAATCGTGGATCGCCTCCAGGTAACGGCTACTCGGTCGCACGTCGGTCATGGTGATTGTGAAGCCCGCGAAGTCCACCGTGGTGCGCTGAAGATGAACTTCTCCGGGTTGAGGATAATTCCATTCCGGCCGCATATATCCAGCCATTGGACCGCCTGGAAGTAGCTCCCCTCGATCGTATCTGACCATAGTAGCGTGTCGTCCACGCACTTAGTCTTGTCACCAATATCCGCGACGATCTCGTCGTATCGTCGTGAGTAACCGTCCCCCGATGCCATGTACCCTTGTGGGGCCGATAGGTACCGGTAGCGCCCCCATGGAGTGATGAACGTCGTCTTGTGGCGGTCGTCCTCGTGTAGTTGGACGCTGTGGTTACCGTTCCATGCGTCGAACACTGTCTTGCGCTTCCCGTTAGGTACGCGTCTTGCCTGGTGGAACGGGGATTGGGTGTGGTGGGTCTCGCGCAACGCATGCTTGTTCAAGGCCTGGAAGTCGACGGTGCACCGCGGCTTGCCATTCTTTTTTTGCGCAGACTACCATGCGGTGACACCATGTCACCGGCGTACCAACGGGTACTTCCTCCAACACGCCGAGTCGAACGTCTTGGTCGAGGCCTGCTTTTACCTCGTCTCGCCAGTGTATGGCCACGGGGATGGGAGTCGCATCCTCATCAAGCATAAGACGTAGCGGCGGGCCGGTCATTCTCGGTAGGGGCTGGTGTGGGCACGTATTGAATGTGCTCTGAGCGTACATCCTGAGTAAGTGTGTCTGTAGTGCTTCCCTGTTAGCCTCGGTCGCCAGCATGGGGAGTGTGGTCGGCTTGGTCGGCGGCTCCGCACGTCGCGGGCAGTCACACAATTCCGAGGTCGTCAGGTTCACCTCCCCGAGTGTTGGGAACTTGTCCGAAATCATACCCAGGTCTATGCAGGCTGCGCGGGAGAGGAATATGCGGACCAAAGTGTCTGTCACATACGCGATTTGGCGCGTCTCCAATCTTCGAGCGTTGTCACTGTTACCGGCGAATCTGACCACCACGGCTCCGAGAATACGAATTCCCTCGTTATTTGCAGCCTTCATGGACATTGACACAGGTATGAGGTCCTCGATACTCAGGCCCATTTGTTGGGCGACTCTAATGCCGATCAGGCAGCTCTGGCACCCCGTGTCGGCCATAGCGGGCAGAGTGACTGCGCGGGTGCGTTTCAGGAGGTTAAAACCCAGCGCTTTGTAATCTTCGCGCTTGTTGGCGAAAGTGAGGTTGACGTACGGCTGCGGGTCGGACGCACGGTAAATGCCGGTCAAATGCTCATCTGCAACACACAAGTACTGTAGAGCGTAGTTTGTATGTTATAATTTAAAGTATAAATAATCAAGAAGACGTATAGAATTTGTGTTCACTAAAGAAATATATTGTTTACAAACAACCCGTCAGCGTCAACGTCACGTCCTGTCTCGTTCCAATCTCTCTCACAATGCTCTCGCGTCCCTTATGTATGAAACCCGCATCCAATCACGGCCCAGTTCCACTCTACCCTAACCAATCACACACCACTCTCTCTCTTGTTCAAATTATTACGCGGGAAATGTACATATGGCCAGCATCTGTACAAGTGTCAACCTAACGTCCGTAACCTATCTGCTAGTACCCAACCTAACTATTTCTAATCTATATGCTAAACGGTCGATCCTAACCTATGCCTCTACATTTACTAATTCAATGCGACATATGTAAACCATATGTTACATTTACCTCCCCCTTCATCAAAACGATGATCCCATCATCGAATTCAGCGTCCCGCTGATCTAAATGTCCTGTTTAACTAACTCCCAAGCCCCCATATCTAACACACACACACACACTCACACACACACTCACACACACACCTGTTCCTGACGAAATAGAGCCCAACATTAAATAAATTCCTTCCTTTGTCCATCATACCGTCTACAATAACTCCTTCATTGAACACATCCCCCCTCCCCACATAATAACTAATCACAAGTTTTACACAACCTATTACCTATGGTACCAAAGCCAGTACCATGGTATCCCAATGCTATGGCTAAACACTGCCGCCAACAAAACCTCACTGACCACACTGATATAAAACCATACTTGACACGAATTGCCAAGTAAACCATCTGTGCAACAATTCCTTAAAACCCTGAAACGAAAAGCTGAAAAGAGAGAAACAATACACAAACTACACCAACCCCAATGCAACACAACAACTCATTACATACCAACAATGCCATGAGCCTGAAATACAACCCCCAAAACTCAATAATATACCATAATACATACTGCATACCTGAAGTACAAAAACAACCACACAATGAAATACATACAATACAATATAATATAATAGTCTTGATCCTCGACGATGTTACGATGTCCTCCCTGGCCTTGATGTTGATCTCTGCGCTGTTTCTTCTGATGCCGATGCAATAATTGATTTCAGGACGCAATTGTCAAAATGTGCTGTGGCATTTTAATTTCTTCGATAATGTCCAATGGTTTATGCCAAAAGTTCACCAGCACTGCCAATCTGCTAACACATTAGTGTTTGTGTTAACAAATATTGTTCTCAGAAATTTGAAGGTCGACGACTCTGCTGAATTCTCGCTGAAGTATTGCGTCGTTGAAGTGTTGACGTTACTGAAGTGATGACGGTAGTTTTCCGCTCCTTGCCAAACTGGTATACTGACTGCCGCCTCGATGTCCTGCCGAATATTTAACCAACTCTGTGTAGCGGAAGATTCGTCCGATGTACTCTCCTCTCTGGATGTCCCCGCAACTGCAACAATTATAGAAACCACCGAACAATATCTCTCTCCTAACCGATATCACTATGACCATGCCTTTAATATATGTGTGCGCTCACATATATCAAAATCGCAATCCTACGTAATACCCACAATTCAAATTCCGTACCAAGCCAGCCCAATTTACTGAAACACCCATCATTATAATGATAACATTTCCTGCTCTTCCGTTAACATCTTACTCCCTTTCACTCCTACCCACAATTATTCCCTACATTTATAGCTAACATATATCACTTCGCACCATGGTCCCCGATACTAGAACCTCAATGCTACCAGCGCTCACACACATTATTCTGCTGCAAACATTTTCCGTTTGAGCGTGCATATGGTGCGTGTGTTTCAGCATATTAGCTAAAAGTCATGTAAAACATTAGGGTGCGTGGGTTTCACACGCATATTAAATAATAAGAATAGCTTAAAATATTTATCTTATGTATCTTATGTATCATATGTATCTTACATAATGTCATAATTATAGCTACAGAAAGGCTATCTATATACTCGTAAGGCATATTAGCAAAAATATCATGAAAAAAACTTATTAAAACTTCCAAACGAAATGACGGATGATTCGTATCGTTATGCAGTAATCCTATGGGTGCCAGTGACGCGATCGTGTTGTTTTCACCGGCGTTCTGCTGGTGGTCACGTGACTACTGATCTGGGACGTAGCTCCGCCCGCACCTATAGCATGCATAGGCCTACATAATATAGCATATATGATATAGCATAAATACATATATGATATAGTAATTAGCATATACTATATAGCATATATATACTAGCGTATAGCATATACCCAGACAGCACAACAGCATCAGGCCAATGTTGGGCCAATATTGGTTAATCTTCGCACTAATATCTGCCTGATTGGTTGCGAATATTGGCCCGATTGGTTGCCAAAAATTGGCCCGATTGGTTGCCAATATTATATTGGCCCAACATTGCCAATATCAGCCCGACCCCCGGCTTGCACCTTGGCATTAACTTTCCTTGAATGTCAGTGTGGGCTGGGCATATTTGAATGAAAAAGATTGTGCAATTATTCTGGTTTCAATAAAAATTTATTAAAAAGTTAAAAATATATTTAATTTGCTCAGTGTGGCTAGCAGTAGCAAGTAGTTCAATAAGATATATGCCATTGATCCACCAAAATCTTGATATTTTATTGAACTACCCAGTAGAAAATGAAATCCATACAAAATAAATGCAATTTAGTATTACAGTTGGCGCAGTTTGTGGCCCTGGGTAGTTAAAAAAAATATCACCGACCGCAAAATTAAATACACCGCGAAATTGTTCATCAAGTCTGAATTCGCGAAAATATCTGTACGCGAAAAATATGGTGTATACAGTATGTTCCCTTTTGCGTGATCCCCGCTAATTGTGTAATGCCGCAATAACCCCTCCGGTCGTTCTAAGATTCGATCACTGGATTGTGACTTCGACTGAACTGCCACATCGTGTGTGGTGCGAACGAGGAAGACATAGATTCGACAACGGAGATGAATTACTTTATGC